AATTTCCCTCAATTTTATAATTTGATATTTTTTTCGAGGGGTGTGCGATAGACTTACGTCCACGTGGTGCACCCTGGGCAACGTATACTCATACGGCAAAAAAGTCTATTAACAGGCAGTTGACTTCTGACTTCAAACTACCCTCACCCCATTGTATGTTATATTCGACTACTTTCACAGCACTCACCTCACCTTTTTCCACTTTTGTGTCTCTTTTACATCTTTGAAACCCTCTTCTGTTCCCCCTCTTCCTCTCGACTTGTTTCACTTTGATGTTCCTCCTCCTCTGTGAAGCCTGAAGTCAACTAAAAGGCTAATGATAACTTTCACAACGCCTGCCATTTGATATAAAAAAATATTTTTTTCGAAAGTTTACTAAACTGTTCTTTCTATAAATTACTTCAAAGCCCTAACACATGTGTACAAATATCTCTATTTTTAAATGGAACATATGAATTGGTGAGATGATGACTGAGTTGAATGCAAATAAAGCAACTTGGTCACGATCTAATTAGACATTGAGATGAAATGAAACCATTAATTTAATCGATATTGACAACTAACACAAGAAGTAAAATTCTGAATGAGGCTGTTAGTTAGATATCGAGTTTTAACATTCTATTTCAGAATGATAGTTTAATCGTTATATTGTTCAACACTTCGGAAAGGCTTCATAAGAATTCCCAAATTTAAATCTGAATAGTTTCCGCAAGTTTACGTTGAAGAATAATAAACTAGTACAATCTAATGGTTTTCTAAAAGAGGAGGTGGAGAAGAAGCTGAAGAAAAAATAAGGAGAAAGAGCGAAAGAGAAGGAGAAGGCTGCGAGAACTTCAAATGAGAGATGTGAGGACTTTAAAAGGAAGATGGCTTAAGCAGGGTCATTTCTAGTTGGCTAGTGGTTAATTGGCAGGTGACATTGTGGTGAGAGCAAAGAGAACGATACAGAGACAGCGGAAGGTGTGGTTGCAGATTGTTTCTTGGAATCGCACGCTGAGGAGTTGAAGTTGAAATAGGAGCAATGGAGTGGAGGCGATGTTGCGTCTGTAGCGTCATGTGTGTTCGACGTCGCAGGTGTCGCTGTTGACAGTTTGGGATTTGTTCGGCAGTGTTAGCTGCGGTAGTGGCTTTGGTGATGAATTGGATGTTGATGTTGTGTGTGTAAATTGGGAGAGACAGAGAGGAGTCGTAAGCATCGCATTGCCGCAGCAGCATCAGTGGGTGTCCTCATCAATACCATCATAAGCCTCACGAAGAGAAGGTGGAAGTGGAGGTGGTGAGGTAAGAGGAGTTGGAGTGTTGAGAATAGAATGAATGGGGGGAAGCAGTGTGTGCTGAGTGTGTTTCAGTGTAAAATGGGTAATTAGAAAACTTTTTTTGAGTTTAAGTGAAGAGAGGTAGAGCCATAAAAGCCATGCCTTATGGTCTTATAATGGCACGAAATGAGTCAAGTTGAGGAGCAGGATATGAGAGATGGAGATGAGAACATCATGTGCGCTCAGTGGTAAAGCCTTTACGACAGCCCACACATTTGAATCGTAGTTAAGTGGTTTGAGGTGGGGATGTGGTTGATGAAGGGTTAGATGAAATTGATTGGGAGGTGGTGGATATGGGACTGAGATGCGTAAGTTAGTGGAGGTTCCGGAGGAGTACGCAGTGCATTGTTGACAGTATTGGCAAAGTTGCGTCGTTTGTGGTGTCGTTGATTGCGTTGATGTTGTTGTTGGTGGCGTGAGATTTGATGGTGAATTTTTGTAAGGCGGGGCTGGAAAGCGACGTTGGCTGAGGGTAATATGGATAAGAATGCAGAGACATGTGTTTGTTGCCCGGTATCATTGGTGAACGTGCTAGTAGAAGAAGTAGGCGAAAGGGGATGGGGATGAGTTGTATAATCCGAAGGAGTCAGAAGGAAAAGGAGACGGTGGAGAAAATCACTATTAGAATTAAATTATAAAATTTGCTAATTGACTAGTTTTCTGAGTTCCGTTCAAAAGTCAATTTAATTTATTCGAAATTGAAGTCCTTTTGCTTTTACTCCGAATGTCCTTCTCACCACTCATCAATGCAAGTTTTCCTATTTCTGATGAAAAATTTGTTTCCGACATTACACTCACTATACAACAAACAATTGCATTTAATTGTAAAGCACAAATGCAGTTCAATTTATTAAAAGGAGTTAATTAAATCTCTGCGAATTACTTGATTCCACTTCAAAGCAAATGATCGTTATTCATTCACTCATTCCCTGGTAGGGAAATAATTGCCTCCTTTAGAAATAGTTGAGCAATATAATATGTTCTAAAATCTTTACAACACCGAATGAGGAAACAGAGCCTTTGTTGTTTAAGACGGGCGGACTATTGATATGCATTAATTTGATTAATGAACTTTTATCGGAGCTGATTGAGAGCTGATAGAGAAATTGACAATTGCATTATTCTAGATGCCAAAAATTTGAAACGTTGCCAATTTTATCCAAAAAGTGTATTAATGTAGGAAAGATTAAAAATAGATCAAAATTGTGCCGTTGAAATATATTAATAATGCATTCCCAATTTTGAATAGACGTGCTATTTTCATAACTTCTCCAGAATGAATGCACTGAACACTTAAATAAATAAAACGACGCATGATATTTGGTTTCTCTTAAAGTGGTACTGAAGTAACATTTAAAAACATTTTTTAATCATAATAACTCTGAAATTAAAAGGCTGCCTTTATTATCTTCCCGGCATTTACTTTGATATGGGAATTAATGGGCTGAATTAATATTCCTCGTCACTAGTATACAAATCAAGATTTATCTCACTTTGTAATGGTAAGGCACCGAAGATTGACAAAATTTAATTTTTCTTTCCTTGTCTCTAATTAATTTATTCCATGATATTAAAAATTATATATTCTGGACGATCCTTGGAAAATTTTAAATCTCCAATGTTTATGTGGTAGGCATGTAGATCTAATTTTACCTTTGAAATAATCGTTTAATTGAGGCCAGGTTTTCATTTATAAAATAATTTATAATTAAACACAGATAATGACACATAGATGATTTGTATAAACGCAAATTTAGTTTCGCTTCCTGCACATTCAAAAAGCAGTAAGATAATTTCGTTTAATTATTAAGACCAAATAATATATATATATATATATATTGTGGGCAAATTCGAATATAATATTTTTAAAATGAATTAGTCGTAGCTAACAGTATTATAAAAAATATGATACTTAAATGAAATTATAACTTGAGTAGAAGAAAACAGAATTCATAAATCCCTTTCTAATGCAAATGCAACAAATGTGTTACTTACTAATGAAATACAATGCTACCACATAACTGGACTCATGAAATGCCAATAATAAGAAAACACACAAACAATGGGCAACCTGCTATCTTATAGAGGAGATTTCAATTTTAGGGATTGTCAATCATTTGAGGATATGGGAATAATGCTTATGTTATTTAAAAACCTCCATAACGTTGTGCAGAAGCAATTTAAAATCGGAAAAAATGCCCCTGTGGTAGGCAAGTGTGTTGCATCTAACACATTGCGATATATTTTGAATAATTGCAAAAGATGTGCTCTCCTTGTAGCAATTTATAATCAAGCTACTCAATGGTTTGAAATATGCTCTCAACAATTTGTATTTTTGATGAGAATTATCGTAAAAGTCATATTATGGAAGTGCATAAACAATGTCAGTTTGCAAAGAAATATGTTATCTCCACCCTCAGCTTCTTCAAATTTTGGTTTATTTTCGGATCTTTCATTTGGTTCTAATTTAGTGGGAAATATTGCTTTCAAGGTACACGAATGCAGATTCGTTAAAACTACTACTTTTGAAACAAAAATGACCTGATCTTAGAGAAATGTGCAAACGGTATCATTGGTAAAATTGTTTTAGCTTAAATTGAAAGGAAGTGGAGCAGAGGCAACATATGGACATGCAACACACCCATCGTCTTTTGAAAGAGATGCAAATGGTTCACAAAAATTGTATTAGATCGAGTGAAACTTTCCTAAGAGAGTTTATTAATGAAATCGTCAAAACAACAATCTCAATTTGAACTTTTGAATTCGGAACTGGAATCTTTGCTCGATGGCAACATGAGAAACTTGGTTATAACTTAATGGGAAATTCAATCCAAGTATCAATGCCTAAGTAATAATTTCTCAAATTGCATTTTGGTAGTTATATGAGGTTTCAGGTTTGAAGTAATTTGGTCAAATAATTTATTGCCATAACTCTTCAATGGAACGGTTGTCTTCATCACTTTTAGGGTTTTGTTTCGACGTGGGTGAAATAAGATCTTGCCAATAAAGCGCAGTAATAAGATTTAAACGCCGTCGGGTCATGAAATGGATTGATTTCTCGAAGAGTTGACAACATGGAAAGACATTATTCATGCATCTTTAGTAATATGTACTTAAGGAGATCAAATTGGTATTAAAGATACAATTCCAGTACAAAGTGACACGTTTATAATTTGCTAATATAAAAATGTTATTTTCAACGAGGAACTGGAGGCACTCTTGCCATCGAATTGGGAAGGAGGAGGGTGGTGGGTGGTCATATTCAAATTTCTGCCCATTGGCACACCCCCCCCCCATTTTTGACAAGCAGCAACTGTGAAACCGCATGCAAAACATGTCCCACTTAATCCTGAAATACAATGCTACAACATAACTGGACTCATGACTTATCCATATATAGCAAATTGAAGGCCAGAATTTAATATAATTTTCATTAATTTTTCCGATCATATTTTGAATGTAATGTAATCATCAGAAAGAAGTAATTCACGTTTAGCTTCATCAGAAGATTCGCTTGAAGTGATTGTTTATCATTCGAAAATATGGAAAAATATTGTCATGATTTTGTTTGTAACGTAGTACAGAAAAAATTTTAAATCATCATTACTTATTTCATATGCGAGCAATTTGGATTTAGCTCCCAAACGGGGCTTATTTTTAATAGCAAAAGATGTGCGCTTCATGGGGCAATTTAAAAAATTGATTAATCAATAATTGAGTGTGCATAAATTGTGTTCTAAACTTCGTTTTTTTCACAAAAAATAATTGAAAATAGTCATAGTATGGAACTATATCACTAAGCGTTCATCATAATGTTTGCAACAATTATCACGTATTTAAGCAATTTGCTGCTAGCTTATCAATATTCAAAGGCTAACTAATTAAATACAATAATTAAAATATAATTTAAAACTCTAACGGCATATCTGCCACTTCGTGTAACTGTGGTAGAAATAAATTGATTAGCACTAAAACTATTAAATACAAATACTCATTCTCACCTGCTCAGTTTAAACGGTTGGAATATATTGTAAATTATGCTGCCAATTTAAGCTGGACTAATCTTTGGAAAATATTATAAATTGGCCAACACATTTTGATGCCAATTTGTACTCCACCTGTTACATTTCAATCTGGTTGCAAATAATAGATCAATATTTCAATGCCAATATTTTGATCCATTTATACAGGTTCCAGTTATTCAAAAAAATTATGAATAAATTTGCATTCCTCATCATATGTCGATTTACAAAATGGTTGAAATTTGATTAAGGCATGCCTATGGAAAAGCTTGAAGTCCTGAACAGGGAAACAATAAATTCAGTGCTATTGTTCATTCTTGAGTGGATTACCTTAAATAAATGTGCGTTTTGGAATCGGTTGGAGAAACATTGTCTTAAAGAGACGCGTGGTCCTCTTTCACTCACCAAAGACTGTAGCGGATTGCTAAGCTAGTAAAGCCTGACCGACTCAGAAATCTCTATGGCAGATTCTCCTACATCTAGCTAGACTCCCAGAACCAGCTAAGCTATAGCCCAGGTATAAAGGAAACAGACGTGTAGCACGGAGCACGTTTATTCAGGACGTGTATTGCGGATCAAGTGTACACGTAGGGGGCTTAATCATGATCAGGATGGCTGATTAGGTTAAACAGAGGTTGATGATTGGTCACTGTTTGTACGGTCGCTGCACACAGAGTTGTACGGTCGCACCTCCCAATCCTGGCGAGCGGACATGCAGGCATGCGATGACGCACAAAGCGATAACGTTTCTCACAAGACAATAGTATCAATTCTAGTCAATAAAATTGTTCAATGTTGACAGAAATCGCAATAGTACTTGTTGAAGAGAGTTGTTATTGATAAACTTCGTTGCTTCCGTGGATATTCAAC